GCTATTGGATACGGGCGACACAAAAGTTACATTTTATTACTACATTTTTACAATATGTTATTATTTATGAAATAGTACATTTATACAAAACTTAGAAGTAGGATTATTCGGTACACGAATTAGAGTTTTAGTTACAGAAATTTCAACTTTGCTTTGATTTTCAGAGTATCTATATTACATGTTTGTTAAAGTCCTTAAGGGTTCTAATAATAGTTTTAATATGTTTGGTGTATGATATGACTGAAGATTCCTTGCTTATTATTTTATTTATGCTGAAGACGTCTGTTATATTCAAGCTACTGCAAATAATTATGTGATCGTTCCGAGTGTTTGAGTACCTAGGACATTCTTCTATTAAGTGCTTGAATGTTTGTTCCGAGTTGTCGTTACATGGGCATTTATTAGTTGATTTTATTTTAAATCTGTACAAGTACGATAGATTAAATCCATGTCCAGTCAAAAATTGTGTAAATTCAAAGGAGGGTTTAACAGCTTCCCATAGATTTTGTATGGACTCAAGATCAGGACATATACTTTTTGTATGTTGTCCTTGTATGGAGGTTTTGTAAAAAGAATCAGCATTGCTTAAAGTTATTTGTTTTAAATTATATTTTAAGTAGCTTAAAGGGGTCTTGTCATATTCATATCTACTGTGGGAACTGGCTGCTTTTTTAGCTGTTACATCTGCTTCTTCGTTCCCGGTCAAGCCTGTGTGTGCTTTAACCCAAGTAAAGTTAATTGTTCCTGTGTTATATATTTGGTGTATACTTTTATGTATAGATACTACGAATGGGTTGGTACTGTCTTTATTTTGTATTTCTTTCAAGCCTGAAAGGGAGTCTGTAAGGATTGTAAGATTATGTGTACCTGTTTGAATAGCCCATTTGCAAGCTCTTTCTATAGCCAAGAGTTCCGCTTGAAATACATTGCAGCTTGGGTGTAGTTTATATTTCTTGCGTATTTTTATTTCATTATTAATTTGTACTACAAATGCTGCGCCTGTACTACCATCATGATGCTTGCTTCCATCTGTGAATATTTTTGTCATATGGTTATTGCAATTATCAATATCTTCTTTTGTAGTTGCCATATTAATTTCGATGGTTTTTCTGTCAGCTGGATGAAGGAGTTGTGATGGGGGCAATGGTTTCTCCATGGCAATGTCATCGGGTAGAAACTCTGTTTTTCCAGATAATTTGGATGTTTCTATGTTAGCAACTTCTGATACTTTTAAATGAAGTGGAGTGAGTAAGGCTAAGGATATTGCAGCAGAGGCAGATACTGTTCTGAAAGCTCTTATAATCTTGATGGCGAATCCACGCTGTAGGGATATTAATTTGTCCCTTACTACTTTAAATTTGGTAGCATCTCCCCAAATGCCTGCCGCATAAGTGATTATGGGTTCTATGACCTGCCTGTATATTATTTCAATATTTTCTGGGTGTATTCCCCATGTTGGCCTTACATATATACAAAGTTTTTTGTATATGCTAAGAGCTTTGTTTGTTATATACTTTGCATGTTCAATGAATTTCAGGTTTCTGTCAATGATTACACCTAGGAGTTTGATTTGTTTGCTGAACTCTAAGGTTATACCAGACATTACAATGTTTGCCATTTTGGCTTTGGGGGTAAACGTTATTAATTGTGTTTTGTTTGGACCAAATCTAAGCTTAGCTTCTTTGCCCCATTCAGAGATCGACTTAAGGGCTGAGTTTGCGGTCATTTGAAGTATACTTACATTTTTGTGTGCTACGATTAGCAAGACATCGTCTGCAAAGGCTTGCAGATGACATCCTTCGGGTAGTGGTATGTTAAAGAGGTCATTGAGAATTAGGTTCCAGAATATGGGGCCGCAGACCGAACCCTGAATGCATCCTCTGGTCATAGTTTTATTTACAGTGACGTCGGCGTAATTTAACGTGACTAAGCGATCCTTTATATAATTAAGTATAATTTTATATATATTTCTTGGACATTTAATTTCTGTTAATCGTTTAAATAAGATAGGCCACCAAGCATTATCAAATGCCGCTTGTATGTCTAATGAAACGGCAATTACTAATTCCTTTTTACTCTTTGCTGCACTAATAATATCAACCGCATTTTTGAGTGCGTGACTTGTGGATAGCTGTTCTTTAAATCCAAATTGTTTTGGGTTTGTTTTATTGTTGATGTTTATGTGATATGTTAGTCTTTTACTTAACAATTTCTCAAAAAGTTTACCGAATACATTTATAAGACCAATAGGGCGATAAGAGGAAGGATCGGATAAGTCTGATTTATTAAATTTAGGAAGTATGATGGCATGTGCAATTTTCCATTGCTTTGGAAAGTAAGATATTTCAAAACATCGGTTTAGTAGTTTATTTATGGCTGTTTTATATATTGTGGTGAATGCTAAGCAAATATCCGCAGTTAGGTGGTCGTTTCCTGGAGCTTTATTTGGATTGATTGTTTTGAGACAGTCGATTACTTCTTCTTCTGTAAAGAAACGGTCATCTGAGGTGCTTGGTTCACAAGACATACTTTGTCTAAGTTGTTTTTGTATCTCCGTGTCGTCCTCAGTGTCATTAGGATAAAACTTGTTTAGGAGCACATGAGCCGTTTCTTTAGATGATGTGGTGAAGTTTGATGAATTTATTCGCATTGTACATGGAAGAACAGGTTGTGGAGAATTCTTCAAAAGCCTATTTGTTAACGACCAGACATTTTCCTTCCCTTGCTTGCTGCAAAATTCCTTAAAATGTTCCGTAGATGCTTTCCTAATGGCGTCCAAATATTCTTGTTTTAACTGTTTTCTTTCCAGTAATATATTGTCTAGTGGTTTCTTGCTACGCTTTAGTGTTTGAATTCTGTGATGCAGTTTGATTACGCCAAGTTTAAGTCTTTCTAGGTCAGAATTCCACCATGGTATATATGTTTTAGCTATTCCTTTATGTTTAAACACTTTGCTGCTGACTTTTTGAATAACATTTGTTATGTCCTTTATGTAATTATCTATGTCCTGTTCGTTAAATAGTTCTATGTTTTTAGTTGCTAACTGTTCTTTTTTCATTACCGTTTTTATCTGATTAGAGAAAGAGGACCAATCAGCATTTTTGGTGTTGTATCTGTAAGTGGTGGGTTTCTTTTTTCGATGTAACGTATCATTATTAAGTTTTAAAAAGAAGTCTATGGCATTATGCTCCGATGTAGGACATGCATTCATATTTACCTGCCAACCATAAATTTTATTTGATATATTCGCTGATGTCATCGTCAAATCTATGAATGAAGTACGGCTTGCCCCATGGGTCACCGTCTCAAAGGTTGGAAATTTACCGTCATTGAGTAATATCAAATCGTTTGACATAATTATATCGTGAACACTACGGCCTCTTTTATTAGAAATATTTGAGCCCCAAGCAGTATGCCATCCATTAAAATCACCTCCAATTATGATATGCTTGTTGACGTGACTCTTGAGAAAATGTTCCAAGTGATTTAGCGTGTTGTTTATATCATTAGTAGGCTCTACGTAAACACTGGCAAGAAATAAATGATATTTATTATTAAGAAGCTGCACAACACACATGTTAGCTGTTGAGAATTCACGTATACCTAGAATTGAACCAAGGCTCGTCCTCACGATGATGCATGCTTTTACACGTTCATTGTTTGTAAATTGATATATGTCGAATCCCTGAACATTTTTAACGGTATTAAGATTACCTACATAGGGTTCAGATATGAGGCCTATATCGTAGTTGTTGTTAACAAAGTAATTTATAAATTCATAGTGGCTAACATAACTTTTGTCAAGGTTGATTTGAATTATTTTAAGTGTTTCAGAGTTAAGTGGTTGCGATCTTTGCTCGTCAGAGGTATGTGAAAATGTGGATTGTCTATTGTCCATAATCAGTCTGTTCATCAATTTTATTTTTAAGAGTTTTAATTCGAGGACACACTTTAGTGTTAGTCGCTATATGATTTGTGTCGACTTTGCTATTGCTTTTAATATTAAAGTTGTGGCAATTGAAACACTTGCGTTTATTTTCTGTTTCCTTAAAGGGGCAAGAGGCTATGTTATGTTCCTCAGAAGCACAGTGTGCACAGCGGTACGTTTCTGAAGTACACTTATTTTTCGTGTGGCCGAACAGTAAACACTTATAGCACTGTAAAAATCGGGAATACGGCTCTATATGTACTCGCTGGTGGTCAATTGCAATGCGTCCGATATCTATAACACTCTTGAATAATTCCGGTTTTACTTCGAAAACAGCGTTGTATAAGTTTTCGTTTCTATTTGAAGTAGCAAAGCAGAGACGGATGTTGCCTTTGGGTAGAGAGTTTTGATGTTCAATTATATCTGTCAACTCGTTCTTTTCAATATCTTTTGAGATGCCTTTTAGTATCACTAATGGTGGACGTCTTTTACTTTCTTCTGCTTGCAATCCTTCTATTTTATTGATACGAGCTATGGTTTCTTGGCACTGCGACTTAGTGTCAAATTCAATTCTTACTTTTCCGTTGAATCCTGTTTGTACTTTAGCTGGAGCGTAAGTTTCCTTCTTAAAAGATACACTTTTTCTCCACTTGTTTAGCACTTCTTGCGGCTTAGTGTTGGGATCTGTCGATTGTAGTATTATCGATGGCTTATTTATTTTCGCTGCTGCAACGTTCGCGTAAGTGGCTTTGACGGGCAAAAGGGAAGGTGCCAATTCCGATTTTAATTGTTTTATTTCCTCGCGAACACTTGTTATAATTTCGCTTTTAAGTTTTTCGTCTAAAGCAGGCGTTTCTACTGACTTTAAGATGGCAAGTGTAGATGTGCATCTACGTATTTCGTCTGCAGCTAATAATATGAATTTTTTGTTGAGGGCAGTGACGCTTTTTCCTTCGTAAATAGCGTTTGAGATACAATTGCTAAGCTTATTTACAGTTTCAATGTATGAGTCTATATCTTTGACGTTGGCAGCACTGACTGGCAGAAGATTATCTGATTCTATAGGAGCCATAGTTTACAATACACTATCAGTTTTCATATATACCAAATAAAAAATCATAACTTAAAGAAAATTAATAAATCAATAAAAATCGATATAATTATCTAATAAATCTACTTAAGTAATGAAAACCGGGAGGGTGGGAGGGCGATTTTCTCTAATTCCGCGTGTTTTATGTTACAGATTAGGGTGCAGATGGCAGTTTCTACACAGAACGGACCTAATAAGTGCAAAAAGAGCGAAAAAAAACGAAGATTTAAAAAAGTTTAAAAATTTTATAAAATTACGACTATAAGAAACGGATTAATTGAAAATTTGTTATAAAACAATGAAAATTTTATGAAAAAAATACAGAGAATTACAGGGAGCAGTTAATTATACTATATTAAAAGAAAATATGAAGAGAAAAGATCAATTTTCAACAAAGTTAGAGAAGAATTTATGTTTTATTCACGAATTTACAACTATAATAGGATAAAAACACGAAATTTAATTATTTCACGGCAAATATTAACGAAGAAAACTACTGGGATATATGGGGGCTAATTGATTACACTATTCAGAGAAAATTTCAACGAAAAAGACCAATTTTCAGGAAAGTTATTAACGAATTTGTAGTTGAATTAATATAAATGTATCGATCCACCACTATACCTCGGTTTAGGTAAGTGGCGAATTTCTCTAATTCCGCGTGTTTTATGTTACAGATTAGGGTGCAGATGGCAGTTTCTACACAGAACGGACCTAATAAGTGCAAAAAGAGCGAAAAAAACGAAGATTTAAAAAAGTTTAAAAATTTTATAAAATTACGACTATAAGAAACGGATTAATTGAAAATTTGTTATAAAACAATGAAAATTTTATGAAAAAAATACAGAGAATTACAGGGAGCAGTTAATTATACTATATTAAAAGAAAATATGAAGAGAAAAGATCAATTTTCAACAAAGTTAGAGAAGAATTTATGTTTTATTCACGAATTTACAACTATAATAGGATAAAAACACGAAATTTAATTATTTCACGGCAAATATTAACGAAGAAAACTACTGGGATATATGGGGGCTAATTGATTACACTATTCAGAGAAAATTTCAACGAAAAAGACCAATTTTCAGGAAAGTTATTAACGAATTTGTAGTTGAATTAATATAAATGTATCGATCCACCACTATACCTCGGTTTAGGTAAGTGGCGAATTTCTCTAATTCCGCGTGTTTTATGTTACAGATTAGGGTGCAGATGGCAGTTTCTACACAGAACGGACCTAATAAGTGCAAAAAGAGCGAAAAAAACGAAGATTTAAAAAAGTTTAAAAATTTTATAAAATTACGACTATAAGAAACGGATTAATTGAAAATTTGTTATAAAACAATGAAAATTTTATGAAAAAAATACAGAGAATTACAGGGAGCAGTTAATTATACTATATTAAAAGAAAATATGAAGAGAAAAGATCAATTTTCAACAAAGTTAGAGAAGAATTTATGTTTTATTCACGAATTTACAACTATAATAGGATAAAAACACGAAATTTAATTATTTCACGGCAAATATTAACGAAGAAAACTACTGGGATATATGGGGGCTAATTGATTACACTATTCAGAGAAAATTTCAACGAAAAAGACCAATTTTCAGGAAAGTTATTAACGAATTTGTAGTTGGTTAGGTTAGGTTAGGTTAGGTTAGGTTAGGTTAGGTTAGGTTAGGTTAGGTTAGGTTAGGTTAGGTTAGGTTAGGTTAGGTTAGGTTAGGTTAGGTTAGGTTAGGTTAGGTTAGGTTAGGTTAGGTTAGGTTAGGTTAGGTTAGGTTAGGTTAGGTTAGGTTAGGTTAGGTTAGGTTAGGTTAGGTTAGGTTAGGTTAGGTTAGGTTAGGTTAGGTTAGGTTAGGTTAGGTTAGGTTAGGTTAGGTTAGGTTAGGTTAGGTTAGGTTAGGTTAGGTTAGGTTAGGTTAGGTTAGGTTAGGTTAGGTTAGGTTAGGTTAGGTTAGGTTAGGTTAGGTTAGGTTAGGTTAGGTTAGGTTAGGTTAGGTTAGGTTAGGTTAGGTTAGGTTAGGTTAGGTTAGGTTAGGTTAGGTTAGGTTAGGTTAGGTTAGGTTAGGTTAGGTTAGGTTAGGTTAGGTTAGGTTAGGTTAGGTTAGGTTAGGTTAGGTTAGGTTAGGTTAGGTTAGGTTAGGTTAGGTTAGGTTAGGTTAGGTTAGGTTAGGTTAGGTTAGGTTAGGTTAGGTTAGGTTAGGTTAGGTTAGGTTAGGTTAGGTTAGGTTAGGTTAGGTTAGGTTAGGTTAGGTTAGGTTAGGTTAGGTTAGGTTAGGTTAGGTTAGGTTAGGTTAGGTTAGGTTAGGTTAGGTTAGGTTAGGTTAGGTTAGGTTAGGTTAGGTTAGGTTAGGTTAGGTTAGGTTAGGTTAGGTTAGGTTAGGTTAGGTTAGGTTAGGTTAGGTTAGGTTAGGTTAGGTTAGGTTAGGTTAGGTTAGGTTAGGTTAGGTTAGGTTAGGTTAGGTTAGGTTAGGTTAGGTTAGGTTAGGTTAGGTTAGGTTAGGTTAGGTTAGGTTAGGTTAGGTTAGGTTAGGTTAGGTTAGGTTAGGTTAGGTTAGGTTAGGTTAGGTTAGGTTAGGTTAGGTTAGGTTAGGTTAGGTTAGGTTAGGTTAGGTTAGGTTAGGTTAGGTTAGGTTAGGTTAGGTTAGGTTAGGTTAGGTTAGGTTAGGTTAGGTTAGGTTAGGTTAGGTTAGGTTAGGTTAGGTTAGGTTAGGTTAGGTTAGGTTAGGTTAGGTTAGGTTAGGTTAGGTTAGGTTAGGTTAGGTTAGGTTAGGTTAGGTTAGGTTAGGTTAGGTTAGGTTAGGTTAGGTTAGGTTAGGTTAGGTTAGGTTAGGTTAGGTTAGGTTAGGTTAGGTTAGGTTAGGTTAGGTTAGGTTAGGTTAGGTTAGGTTAGGTTAGGTTAGGTTAGGTTAGGTTAGGTTAGGTTAGGTTAGGTTAGGTTAGGTTAGGTTAGGTTAGGTTAGGTTAGGTTAGGTTAGGTTAGGTTAGGTTAGGTTAGGTTAGGTTAGGTTAGGTTAGGTTAGGTTAGGTTAGGTTAGGTTAGGTTAGGTTAGGTTAGGTTAGGTTAGGTTAGGTTAGGTTAGGTTAGGTTAGGTTAGGTTAGGTTAGGTTAGGTTAGGTTAGGTTAGGTTAGGTTAGGTTAGGTTAGGTTAGGTTAGGTTAGGTTAGGTTAGGTTAGGTTAGGTTAGGTTAGGTTAGGTTAGGTTAGGTTAGGTTAGGTTAGGTTAGGTTAGGTTAGGTTAGGTTAGGTTAGGTTAGGTTAGGTTAGGTTAGGTTAGGTTAGGTTAGGTTAGGTTAGGTTAGGTTAGGTTAGGTTAGGTTAGGTTAGGTTAGGTTAGGTTAGGTTAGGTTAGGTTAGGTTAGGTTAGGTTAGGTTAGGTTAGGTTAGGTTAGGTTAGGTTAGGTTAGGTTAGGTTAGGTTAGGTTAGGTTAGGTTAGGTTAGGTTAGGTTAGGTTAGGTTAGGTTAGGTTAGGTTAGGTTAGGTTAGGTTAGGTTAGGTTAGGTTAGGTTAGGTTAGGTTAGGTTAGGTTAGGTTAGGTTAGGTTAGGTTAGGTTAGGTTAGGTTAGGTTAGGTTAGGTTAGGTTAGGTTAGGTTAGGTTAGGTTAGGTTAGGTTAGGTTAGGTTAGGTTAGGTTAGGTTAGGTTAGGTTAGGTTAGGTTAGGTTAGGTTAGGTTAGGTTAGGTTAGGTTAGGTTAGGTTAGGTTAGGTTAGGTTAGGTTAGGTTAGGTTAGGTTAGGTTAGGTTAGGTTAGGTTAGGTTAGGTTAGGTTAGGTTAGGTTAGGTTAGGTTAGGTTAGGTTAGGTTAGGTTAGGTTAGGTTAGGTTAGGTTAGGTTAGGTTAGGTTAGGTTAGGTTAGGTTAGGTTAGGTTAGGTTAGGTTAGGTTAGGTTAGGTTAGGTTAGGTTAGGTTAGGTTAGGTTAGGTTAGGTTAGGTTAGGTTAGGTTAGGTTAGGTTAGGTTAGGTTAGGTTAGGTTAGGTTAGGTTAGGTTAGGTTAGGTTAGGTTAGGTTAGGTTAGGTTAGGTTAGGTTAGGTTAGGTTAGGTTAGGTTAGGTTAGGTTAGGTTAGGTTAGGTTAGGTTAGGTTAGGTTAGGTTAGGTTAGGTTAGGTTAGGTTAGGTTAGGTTAGGTTAGGTTAGGTTAGGTTAGGTTAGGTTAGGTTAGGTTAGGTTAGGTTAGGTTAGGTTAGGTTAGGTTAGGTTAGGTTAGGTTAGGTTAGGTTAGGTTAGGTTAGGTTAGGTTAGGTTAGGTTAGGTTAGGTTAGGTTAGGTTAGGTTAGGTTAGGTTAGGTTAGGTTAGGTTAGGTTAGGTTAGGTTAGGTTAGGTTAGGTTAGGTTAGGTTAGGTTAGGTTAGGTTAGGTTAGGTTAGGTTAGGTTAGGTTAGGTTAGGTTAGGTTAGGTTAGGTTAGGTTAGGTTAGGTTAGGTTAGGTTAGGTTAGGTTAGGTTAGGTTAGGTTAGGTTAGGTTAGGTTAGGTTAGGTTAGGTTAGGTTAGGTTAGGTTAGGTTAGGTTAGGTTAGGTTAGGTTAGGTTAGGTTAGGTTAGGTTAGGTTAGGTTAGGTTAGGTTAGGTTAGGTTAGGTTAGGTTAGGTTAGGTTAGGTTAGGTTAGGTTAGGTTAGGTTAGGTTAGGTTAGGTTAGGTTAGGTTAGGTTAGGTTAGGTTAGGTTAGGTTAGGTTAGGTTAGGTTAGGTTAGGTTAGGTTAGGTTAGGTTAGGTTAGGTTAGGTTAGGTTAGGTTAGGTTAGGTTAGGTTAGGTTAGGTTAGGTTAGGTTAGGTTAGGTTAGGTTAGGTTAGGTTAGGTTAGGTTAGGTTAGGTTAGGTTAGGTTAGGTTAGGTTAGGTTAGGTTAGGTTAGGTTAGGTTAGGTTAGGTTAGGTTAGGTTAGGTTAGGTTAGGTTAGGTTAGGTTAGGTTAGGTTAGGTTAGGTTAGGTTAGGTTAGGTTAGGTTAGGTTAGGTTAGGTTAGGTTAGGTTAGGTTAG